CTCCTTCCAACGCGTCGAGAGATAGATAGAGAGAGAGAGAGAGAGAGAGAGAGAGAGAAAAAGAGAGAGAGAGAGAGAGAGAGAGCCCTCCCCTTTAAAGACTTCGATCCGACTTCCTCGCCAGACTACAACAACCTTGACCCTCTTGCACAGGTCATCCCCGCGAAGAGAGGAAGAAGGAAAGAGGATGAAACAGTTGTGAAAACGAAACCGAAACTCACGTCTCGAAGAACATTCCGGAGGCTTACCTCGCCGTGTGACCTTCACGTGAATGGTACCGATGCATCGTGAGAGAAACGAAAAGAGCATCGCGATTTTTGAATGTAAACAGAACGGAACAAAGTCACAAAAGTACAATACTACGAGCGCTCATTCAACCTCAGCATCGACCGAGACGCTTCCGCTTTCATCGTGTCCCGATTTCCCGATTTAATTGATCCTCTCTTCAAAGTTTTCTCCCCGAGGGAGCAATTCCGAACTCTGCCGGCGTAACACCGGGGACTCGGCGGCTTCCGAGACACTCTGTATATAGACCAACTTTTATCCCCGAACAAAGAGCGACGGGTCTCTCGAAGGGAGCTCGATTCAGAGAGCTATCCCGCTGTGTTTCGATGAATGGAACCGGCCCGTTTACTTCGGTTATCGCGTTAGGGCGATAGGGATGGCGCCGACGGTAATGACGCTCCCATTGAGGGATGCGGAGGGTGTCCCGGACCGGCGGAGGCGAAGGCGACGACGACGACGGCGACGGCGACGGCGACGGCAGCAGTGGCGACGAGACGTCGCCTCTTCGCTAAGAGGAAAGGAGCGGACACGAGCAACCTGTTGCTTTTACGGTGCCGGGATATATCCGCGTGCCTCTCCTCCACGCAGCAGCACCCACACGCGCAACATGTTGCAATCGCCGAACCTACGACCGTAAAATATTCGCCGCGTGGCTCGCAACGGGCTACCCGCGGTCGTGCTCGAGAGCGGCCTCTCGTAGCCGCACGTAGGTGGACAATTTATCGTCGTGGAAGAGTCTCGCGGCGAGCGAGACGCGAGAAAGAGAGAGAGAGAGAGAGAGAGAGAGAGAGAGAGAGAGAGCTTTATGCTCGCGCGAATCGGGAACGCGGAGAACCGTGGTGGACTCGCGTTTCCGTTCGATCCGTCAGATCCTCTCGACTAGATTTTCCAAGATACCGATTAACGCGGCAATAATAACAAGATGCGCAAATATAGCCGCAGGACAATGATGAGAAACGCATCGATACACGGTAATTCGGAATCAACCGAGCCCTCGTAATCGCCAATTGGCAGCTGTCGACGCGGCTCCGTCCGTTTTGCGAATCGCAATCGCGGAATCGTAGAAACCCACCGCGCGAGCCTCCTCCGTCGGCGCGACCCGAGACTCGACTCGACTCGACTCGACTCGGCGCGGCGCGGCGCGGCGCTCGAGATTCTCGAGAACCCGAGAGACGGGCGCATTTCGATCGATCGTCGGCCGAAGGCAGCACGGCGACGGCCAAAGCGAGCAAAGAGAGAAAGAGCGAGGGGAAGAGAAAGAGAGGCCTAGCGCCAAAATAAATCAATAAAATAGCGAACCAAGCCGGGCACGTAGGTAGGTGCATACATACGTACGTATGGCCGTACATATGGATACGAGGCGAAGCGAAGCGAGGAGAGGAGAGGAGAGGAGAGGAGAGGAGAGGAGAGAGGAGAGGAGAGGAGAGGAGAGAGGAGAGGAGAGGAGAGAGGAGAGGAGAGGAGAGGAGAGGAGAGGAGACGAGAGGCGAAAAGAGCCGTGGCACGGCGCGGCGCGGCGCGGTGTGGATCGGAGCGGCGCGACGGACGTGGAGAGAGCGAGAAAGAGAGAAAGAGAGAGGCGAGCGAGCGAGTGAGCGAGCGAGCGAGCGAGCGAACGAGCGAGGTCGAGACACGCGGCAGCTGTCTGGCGCCAGGGTCCCCCTGTTCCCTCAAACAGTCGCGCCGAATGCCACCCACCTTAGTCGACCTATCGTGCCATTCTCAAACCTGCATCCCGGGAGCCGGCTTTCCCTCTCTTTCCTTCCTACCCTTCCTCCTGCGACGACCTTCCCTCGTCCTGCGTCCTGCGAACGCACCACGCTCTCGACACTTTTGACAGATCGGCGACTCGCATTCGTTCTCGCAGGCTTAGTTACTTTGGCAGGCCCGGCTTTTTTTTGGGGGGCTTTCTGAAGGATCCGTCTTGTTTGATGGTTCAATTTCTGAGTATCGAGCTATGTCTCGATAGGGTGACGTGGGATACTCGGCGTCCTCATCGTCTCTGAGTCTCCGAGTTATGAGACAAAGGGTCGGGGGGTGTGTGTGTGTGTGTGTGTGTGTGTGTGTGTGTGTGTGTGTGTGTGTGTGTGTGTGTGTGTGTGTTTGGTCGAATTTACGCGAATATTCCCGAGCCGACAGAGTCAAGCCGCGGAATATTTCGATGCGAGGCGGGTTGCGAGTCGGAGGAACTCGCTCGCGATCGGCTGCTGATATTTCTGGGCTCTCCCGGAAGCAGCGCTCTATCTATAACCGACTCGAATAAAAAGACGGACCGTGCGCGTGTTTATGATTCCGTGCCATCCTCTCCCGGCGACTCTAAACTTCACGTATCGCGTATTATATTGCCTCGCGCAGTATCGCGCGAATATACGTGACGCGCGCTAAGCCGACGAAAGTGCAATCGCGTCGGCGACGACGACGATTCTCGTTTCCGGCAATCGCTGCTCGGCGCCGGCGACAGATCGGGCGTGCGCGATGCGTCGCGCGCGCTCTTAAACCCCGGAGGAATTCCAGCGCGCGAGTTCGAAACGAAAGCCATCTCGGAAATCCTCCGGCACGGGAAAAAGAAAGAGATATGTGCCGTATCCGTCTTTCGTCGCGGTGATCCCCCCGCATTAATCGTCTCTCACGTCGCAGGCGTTTAACTTTGATTACGTACAGCCAGCACACACAGGAGAACCAAAGCGACAAAAAGGAAAAAAGAAAAGGAAAACAATTGGCGAGCGATGTAAACGAAGAGAATGTCGACGACAAGTCTATGCGATTAAGTCGCCGGTCTAAAGACCCCGAGACACAGCCGAAGAATTTGCTTGAAAGCAACGTTTGATAGCTCCGGGCTATTACGGTACGGCGGAGATGTCTTCTCGATTTTGGAACGCCCTAGCGCAAATTGCATTCTACGCGGCCACTCCCGCGTTAAGCGCGCGTACGAAACGACAAGCGGACATCGTTCGTCGTCGTCGCCGGCCGTATCTCGTTCTCTCGTGTAAAATCGCGAGAAGCTCGAGCGAGTGAGCGCGTGTACGCGCCGGGCACAGACGCAATTTGCTGCCGGCTTGGGAATGTCTGACGTCGTCAGAGCAGTGGCCTTTGCATTGGCAAAGGCAGATAGTAAAAGTAAAGGCCTCCACGTACGGGAGGAAAACTCCACCGCGACGTCGTCAACGTCGCGAACGTTCCTCGCCCGAGTCGATCGTTCGTTCTTTTCCACCGCCAGCGCTGGCGGCTACCACGACGACGGCGACGACGACGGCGACGACGATGATGATGACGACGACGACGATGACGACGACGACGGTGGGAATTCGCAATCGATCGAGCATGAACAAACGCCACACGCTCCAGGCTTGAACCCTTCCACCACGGATCAAATTATGTCTGTTCAAGGTACGATCGACGCTTTATCCATTAAAATACCTTCCGAGCGAGCCTGATAATTATAAGTAAACGAACAATCGTCTTGTAACAATGAGGTATAAAACTTCCATCGTACAAAATTTTTTTCTATCTCTCAAGACCGTGTCTCTCCATGCTGCTCGAATCGTTCGCGTCTCTGGTTTGCGTAGCGGTGAAAGAAATACCGCTGTAGTAGGCTTAATAATTACACAAGTAAACGGACAATCGCCTTGCGAGACGTCGCTCCCCGTCGTACGAATGTTTTTCAACACACATTCAAGACCCGTCGCGCGTCTCTTTTTTATTATTGTAATCGTCCGTGTTTCCAGTTTCCGTCTCGTCGCGAGAGAGAGAGAGAGAGAGAGAGAGAGAGAGAAAAGTCCCGCGACAACGGAGAATTATCGAACGACGTCGCGAGCGGAATGCAACGCGGGGAAACGAGCGTGGTCGTCGGGCAGTCGAGGGAACAGCGCGTTCGTTCGTTCGTCGCTCGCTTTCCTCGTTCTGACCGGGGCCAAAAGCGTTTCAGGCGTTCCACGAAGCAACGCGAGAGCGCGAGAGCCCGAGAGCGGCCCGAAAAACGACGAGTCCGCGATCCGCGCGGTGCGTCATGCGTGAAAACCTACGCGCGCGTCAGCCCCGTGGAACGTGCGTGCTGAGGAAATTTCTTCGGTGCGTCGCGCTGCGCCGCGCCGGCGATGCATCACTCCGGCCTTTCGAGAAAATTTCGCGGGCCGATGGGCGCGGATAAATCATTGTCGCAATCGTAATCGCGTGTCATCGAGCGCGAAATTGCCAGACCCGTCGTACTCTCCTCTCCCTCGCCGCTACTCCGATACCGGGGACGTGAATTTTTTCCTGCTCTTCTCTTTTTTTCCCTCGATACGGACAATTCCGTCGCCCAGTGGTACGAGTTCGCCCTCGTGAACTTCCGTCGCACGGATCGCCCGCCGGAAAAGAAAACCGTCGCGAAACGCAAGAAGAGATCGATCGCGGCGCGTCGATCAAGGTTACCCACGTGGACAGGAGCGTGGCGCCGTCGATCAGTGACGTAAAGCGGACGAATCTCGTGCGCGGTTGAGCGATCATTCGCGAGTCCAAGGCGAGGAGAGAGAGAACAAGCGACACGCGCGAGAGATCGTTTCGCTTTTTCCTGAAAAAGCTGGTCGATCGAAATCCGACGATCTCGACGATCCTCCGCCGCCGACGTCGTCGTCATCGTTATCATTATAAAGACCCTCGCGGGATGCTTCGTATATCTCTCGACGCAAGATCCGAGAGCATATGGGGGATACGTATAACCTTGAGGACATAGTTACCTTCTCCGTTGGTGGTAAGCGAGCCGGGAAGTGGCAGGGGCGTGCTGTTTTTGCACCGACGTTGATCCCCTTCGCTGGGCGCGCGATCTGAAAATAAACGGCAACCCCTTGAGAAGCTTTCCTCGCGCGAGGGACTATTTCTTCTTCTCTCTCTCTCTCTCTTTCCCCCCCCCTCCCTGCCCCTCATTTTTTCTCTTCCTGTCTCCTTTCCCGCGACACACACACACACACACACACATACACTCGCACACTCCCGTCTTCTCCCTCGCTTCTCTCTCTCTCTTTCTCCGCAAAGACGAAAGCACACATGCGTGATCGACCGTTTGCAATCGATCTGGAGTGCCCAAGGGAGACGAGAGGGGAGAAAAGGACGCGCGAGAAACGAAGCGGCAATCGCACGAGCAATATTGCAACGTAATGCATCGTCATTGCGTATATGACAAGGTTTGTTGTCGTACGCGAAAGAGGCTTCGATTTGCGCGCGGAACGCGGAGAATCTCGCGTCGCGTGCAAGACTTGCCGGCGAAAATACCGGCAGCGAAGTTCCACGTGGTGATCTTTTGCAGATGCAGTTAATTAATAAAAATAATAATAGACCGCGTCGGTGCGACTGGAGGAAGTAACGTTAATAATTACAAAAAAAAAAAAAGAAAAAGAGACCATACACATATTGTCGTGATAGACACTAGTCGCGGTGTTCTTTCTTCGCATTATCGAACGATCTAGATTTGATTCTTCTTTGCGCGCAAAGTCGCTAGCGATATTCGTCTGTGAGAGGCGCGTCGTGTCGAAAATTACAGGAATTCTCAGCGGGTGTTAATAACGCGCCTTGATACCGCGGACGCGCGAGGTCGTCGGCGGGAAGGCGAACTGAGCAACGAATTAGATGCTTCTCTCCTTCTCTCTCTCTCTCTCTCTCGTCTATTTATCGCAAAGAGAAAAACGATTCAACGCGGGACTTGCTACTCTTGATTCTCCAGCAGTGTCTTCGCGTCGTCGTCGCCGCGATTAACGGCGTCGACAATTCGCGAGAATTCATGATCGCTCGTCGCGGCGGGGTGCGCGGCGCGGCGCGACGATAATTAAGCGCGACGATTTTCACGAGCCGAGACAGAAACGGCCAAGGTAATCGCGGACGCGTGATTCATAGTCCTCGCGAAAATTCGAGCGTTTCTCTCTCTCTCTCTCGCGCGCGCGCGCGCGCGCTCTCTCCCTCCCGCGCCGGCGGCACAAAGGAGGTGACAGAATCGTCCAAAATAATGATTCGCCCGGGACGGATAATTTATTCGCCGCGCGCCGTGGCAAAGGTCTCGTGTGTAACGGACGGGACCGACCGGCTAATTCGCGCGAAAACAATGCTAATCTATCCGTTTTCCTCGTAAACGGCCGCGAACGCCCGATTTAATGCTCACCGACGTTCGTTTTTGTTTTTCCTGAACCTCTCGTCGCAAGCACTCCTTCTTGCCCTTTAATTCAGCCACAATAGTCCTTTCAACGCGCTGAACGAAAGCCGTTTGATACATCGCTTACAATCGCACGTAGCTTACAAAAGTTACTTCGTCAGAAATGATGAATTGCAATCGCGTGAAATTAAACGTGATAATTTATAGTCGACGCTGGACTCGAGATGGTTGCGGTTTAAGGGTTAAAACCTAACCTGTTAAAATGTGTGAGATGTTTCCAAAATAGATATCTCGAAGGAGAGCGTCGCGCGAATAGCGAGGCGCTTCCATGAGAAAAGGTCTCAGGTCTCAGGACAAATTGTTTTCTTTTTCTTTCGGCTTTTCGAGGATCGATGGCACATTAATAGTTTTAGAGATAGACCATAGAAGGCCCGACCCATTCACTAAAAAGAGAGGATGACGTCAGGAGAGACAAGTCGAGCGAGAGGGCGGTGCCATACCTTTTGGATTCCACAGGCTCGTTCCTGCGGAGAAGCATTTCCTGCCGTCGCGCCCAAGAACATTAGAAAGCGATTGAGGACGGGGCGAGAGCTAAGAGCGAGAGGGCCTTCAAGGATCTTAGAAGACAGTCCTCTATTTTTAGGACGGAATTATTCGAAAACGCGCCGGGCCGTGCCGCTCGTCGGGACGCAAACGGGCGAACTCTCGGAGGAGACGACGACTGTCGTCTCTTCTTTCTTTCCTCCTTTCGCCAAAACACCCATCCTGTTTCCCCACGCGAAGCGCCTGTCCGCACGGTTGTTACGTAAATAGAACCCGAAACTTACCAACTCTTTCCCCTCGAGCGAATTTCTTCCCGTCCCCGTCGCGACGAAA